GAGTCTGACCCCCTGCCATGGCAGGAAAGATTACTGGGGTCAAATGACCCCAGCAAGGAGTTCATCTAACCTCCTCTTAAAACCCCCCAGGGTAGGAGCCTGCACCACCTCCCTTGGAAGTTGGTTCCAGATCCTAGCCGCCCTGACCGTGAAGTCGCGCCTCCTGATGTCTAACCTAAACCTACCCTCTACCAGCTTGTGACCGTTATTCCTGGTCACTCCTGGCAGTGCTCAGGGGAACAGTGATTCCCCCAGCGCCTGCTGATCCCCCCTGACTAGTTTGTAACAGGCCACTAGATCCCCCTCAGCCTTCTCCTGTGGAGGCTGAACAGGTTCAGGTCCCGTCGCCTCTCCTCACAGGGCCTGCCCTGCTGTCCCCTGATCATGCGAGTGGCCTTCCTCTGGACCCTTGTACAGGTCAGTGGATCTGTACAATTATGTTTCACAAACAGCCTCTTCAGTGCCCTGCATGGAGAATTTTCTCCCTTTTTGACTATACTCATGTTACTTTTGTATATAGTCAGAATCGCTTTAGCTTCCTTTCTTTTGGCTATTCCTTTTGCTAGCTTCTATCTGCTGTTGTATAACCAATGCCTCTGCGTTCCAAGTATCTCCCTCTCCCTGCTTTTCATATTGTTTATCCATTTTCCCCAAGATGAATCTCATTTTAATGGGTTTAAAAAAGAATGTGACCTCAACCATTCAGCAGAAGAGTTCTCAAAAGTGCAGAACAGCTTTCCTATCCATCCAAACAGCTTTAAATATGCAGTCAGAGGGAAAAATTTCCTTTCTTTTGGCATAAAGTGCCAGCAGTAAGGTATTTTTGTTTGTTATTGCTCCTGCTGCCAAACTGTCATGGGGATTTGAATGTTATGTCCTTAGAGAGGGGAACATTTCAGTCCTGGAAGAATTGTTTTTATTAGGTGATGCAAAGAACATAAGTTAGAATCTGGCCGGTGTTCGTTCCACTGGGCAGATGCATTATTGTTCTGTGCCCCTGGTCTGATGAAATGGGGAGTAGTGCTGTGAAACCAGACAGTAAGTCAGGGTTCTGTTGTTAAGACTTGAAGGAGAGAGCTGACCTGACAAGTAGGCTTGATTCAGATAACGTGGCCAAAAATAACTTTTTTCTGTTACATATGGAATATTTATATTGCCCTCTTGCTTATTTATGCCAGAAAAACAAGGCGTCATATTGTTCTTGACAAGGCAGCTTATAGCCTGAATTAAATTTAAGCATGCCCTCTTCTGACATGGGAACTATTATTATTTTTATTGTAACAGTACCTTGGAGGAACTTAGCTCCCTTTTGTACTAAGTGCTGTGCAGAACCAGGTCCTGCCTCCCAAAGGTTTGCTATCCTGGCCCTCAACCCTGCATAATCTTCTTTGAACTCAGTGGCATGGCAGTCTGTTCAAGTGCAGGGCTGAACCTTATTGTCGTGACAAGATGCAGCAATGTTACAAACAAAGTGGGAGGGAGGACAGGGGAAATGCATTAGGAGCATGTGTTTTGTGAAGTCAGGTTTTAGGCGGTAAGGGCTCATCTCCAACTTTGCAAGAGATAGAAAATTAATCCCTTGACAAGATGGCAACTCACGAGACAGAATTATGGATCGAGACCATCCGGCTTGGGATTTGCTTAACAAAATAAGTTCTATAAAGCAAAATTTCAGTCTTCCACTGGAAATAAGAGTATGATAGCAAATTTGTCTGCTGTTACTGTCCATCTTAGAAACCAGAGATTAGGAGAGCCTGTGACAGCATCCAGTTTATGCTGATGGGGCCGAGTGCAGGGCTCCTACAAGCTTCCATTCTCTGCCCTAACTAACTTTAAATCACAATGTTCTGTTCCTGGGAGGATATTTCCAACCATTTTGTCCACTTGAACTTTTTATTATCCAATTAGGCCCAATCTTGTTTTTGTAGTTCCATGTATCCTCCATTAGGTGTGCCTCCAAGCTACTCCCAACTTGCTATTTACACAGCTATCAGGGCCTCCTGAGCTCTCATCTATACTGGAAAAATCACCCTTGGTGAGCCAGTACCAGAAACTATTTAATACCCAGGGAAACAAATTGCAATAGCACTGCAGAAAGGGAGCCTGGGACTTGATTCACTTTCTGAAAGAATATTAAAGCAGCTTTATCTGGTCTACTACCATGTCCACTATCTGCTCAGGGAAACCAGTTGGCAGAAAAATAGCTTAGTAAGTCAAGCTTTCTCTTACAGCTCAGGCTGGAGTTTTTCAGTAACCAAACTATGCATCCTTTGGTATAGATTGACTTTTCCTTCCTGAGTCAGTTTCTTCAAGGTCCTTCATGGTTTTTGCTCCTTGCCTTGGATTCCATTCAATTTCAGTAACTTCAGAGATAATCCCTGCCCCAAAGAAATTACAGTCCAAGATAGCATGCATAGATGGCAGTACTAGCACCTAGCATATTTAGTTTCAGACTAGTAGACCATGGGCACAATTGAATACAGTTGTTTAGGCAAACAATCATCCCTCATTTCTTATCCACCTGGATCTGAATAGTTTTCAAAGATAAAAAAACAAATCCTCCTGTCCTCACTACTGCACAAAATAAAGAAGTCAGTGGTGGTTTTGCTTGAGTGTGGACAGCAGCAATCTAAAATTCACTTTCTGCCTCAAGATCCACTTGGGATGTTTCTGTTGTAATTAGTAGGGAGCTGTATCGATGCACCCGAGAGCAGAATTTGGCTCTTATTTATAACTCTTTTACAGATGTTGAAGTTGAAATGTGCATTAAAACTGATTGGTGTTCCTGGAACTCATGGCCAGCTGAACATGGTATACTAAGAAAAGTTCTCTTTTTTCATGTTTGCAGACCAACCAATCCAGTACGCCCATTCCACTTTCGAAGAGGGGGTTGCAAAACTGACCATCCAAGATGCCTTACCAGAAGATGATGGTATTTATACCTGTCTGGCAGAAAACAGTGCAGGACGGGCATCCTGTAGTGCTCAAGTCACTGTCAAAGGTGAATATTTCAATAATACTGCAGGATTTACTAGGATTTGTCCTTGTCCTTCCTCATTTCTTGGCTCCCATGCTGCCATACCCAGAGAGGCATTCAATAGTGCATGGAAGCCAGCGTTGGGTAGTTCTTTTCGCACAAATTGGAGCAAATGTTCTGAAGGAGAAGTAGGGCATCGAGATTCCAAAGTGTACAATAATGTTTAGGGTGTTGGAATGAATATTTGTCATGACCCACTCAGATCAGAAAGCACTGGGGTGTACTGAGTGCTGCTGCTCAGGTTTCTCCATATGCCTGGCTTACAGTGATATAATGTGTAACATCGGTGAGGAGAGTGGTGACCTGAACAGAAGAGGCATGAAGTAGAGGGTGGCATCACAAGTTGCCCCTGTGTCTGTACAAGTTGCTGTCCCTTCCTCTTGAAAGGCTGACATAGAGGTTGTTCTCTGGGGCACGTACACACAGCTTTTCTGAGCTGTCTGCACTGCTTAATCATTGATCTGTGGTGTGGGTAGGACTTATTTCATCCTCAGAAGAGATGAGGTCAGCAGGGAGACAAAGTAGACCTGTTCCTCAAGCACAATGCAGCCATCTACTTGATCATACCCACAAACACAGGTGTCAAAGCAAATAATACAGCTTCTCACCAGAGGCTCCCCAGGTGCTTCACCGAGGTGCATTGTTGATAACTTCCCTCTTCTACATGTAAGGGAACTGAGGGTTATTGGCTCAACTTTCCTCAGGGCCAATCACTAGCTTCCATGGGAGTTGCTGGTGTTCGATGCCTCTGAAATTCAGGCTGTTATCGTTTTTCTTTTCAACCCCAAATCATTATTGGCCATGGGCAATTTATGTTCAGTTCAATTCAAGTTGGAGAAGGAATCCAAGTTCCCTGGTTAATATCTACATCAGTCTGACACCAGTGGAAATAATTCTGCTTTCCCCTTGTACTGATAGAATTTATAATTTGCAAGTACTCCGTAACTGGATACTAAAGGAGTTGGAAATTGGGAGATGGTCCCTCACTTTCCTGGTAGCAGTTAGGTAGTCAGAAATAGACAATGGGTCTGCAGAGGTTGCCTACTGCTCCACGATAAAGTTCTTTGTTATTTGTTGTTCTCATTCATTGTATGCCTGTATTTACTGAACCCCATGATCACTACACCTCTGACTTGCTATCCTGGACCTTGGCCATATTCCTGAATCTGCCTGGAACTAAATTATACTCTCCATTACCATTTTGGCTGAGGTATTGTAATGAGTCAGAGATCTCATGAGGGAACTGTAACAATGTCTGCTGCTGTCCATTTGGGAGTTTTACCTCAAATGAAATGTCTTGAGACTGCAGCACAGTTTTGTCCAAACATCCCAAAAGCTATTTTTTATTTGAGTTTTTAAAGGGAAAAAAAATTCAGAATTAAGCCAAAGGCTTTTAAACAACTCCCGTAAAGGTATCTTTTGAGCAGCATTTAAAGTGAGTGGCAAATTCTGCATTAAAACAAGCCTACTTTTAATGTGCTATTAGATCAAATGTGAAATAGTGAATGTATGGCAAGTACCATAAGCTAAACAGGTTGTAATAATGGTAAAGACTTTGTCCTTTCAGACTTCATTTGATATCCCAGTGCTTTGCCACACATTATTACTTCTATTACCTTATTACTGCTGGTGGTAATTTCAGATTGTGGAATCAGTGCAGGAAATTAATTCCTCAGAGTTGCATAGGGTTAAAAGACTTCTAAACCAGATCTTCTTTTGACTTCAGTATACTCTGAATCAGGACCACGACAACCTGCTTGGGTTATTACTTTCTTAATATAATATAGGGCCCAAACCTGTGTGATACGAAGTATCTTCTGTAAGTGCTGAGCAACCTCAACTAAAGGCCATCAACCGTTCATAGGAGGATTTTAGCACCTTGCTGCATTGGACAACTCCAGCTGCATCATCCACGTGATAAATTTGCTACACTTAATTTACAGGCATGAATTAATTAATCCTGCCGTTACCCAGGTAAGGTAGGAAAATATCATCGCCATTTTACAGATGGTAAAACTAAAGGAAACAACTTGCCCAAGGTTGGACAGGAAGTATGGGGCAGAACCAGGAGTGGAATCCAGATGGAACAATAAATCTGGTGATGGGATTAACTTGATCTGGGGATTCCTACAGGCCCTTACAGCCATTGACTTTGGTATTAGAGACCTGGAATGGGATTGGAATTATGACATGAGCAGCAGGTCTGACAGATCTTTTCAGCATACAAATCTCTTCTGATTTAGACTGCCAAAGGAATGCACTATATAAAGTGCTTTGTTAACTTATTGTTATATGAGGAAAACAGATGTGTTGGAACAGCATAACCCCAATTATTTAAACTTTGAATGTCAGACGTCCCTATTCTCTGGAGCAAGGTCATTTCCCGCTGCAATTATTGAAAATTCCTTGATTATTCAGACTTGAGCACTGCCTGTCATTACATTGGGTTGTTGAGGTTTTGTTGCTCATATTTGGTGCTGACATTTTTAAAAGTTAGGTAAACAAAATGTGTTTGCAATTGCATGACTGATTTACTTGTGTAATTAGTGCAATTGTATATTCCAATTGGCTGATTGTATACTTAAATGACACTAATGACCTGCTTAGTGCATGCAGCTGTAGTCATTTTGCATAAAACCTAATACACAGGCATTTTCACATAAAACTGGGCACCCAAGTTCTAAAAATTGCTGTCTTCTTAATGGAGAGTCTGAATTTATAATACCACATGCATTCAGATCGCCCAGAATACATTTACTGTAGTTGCATGCAGAAAGCAATGACTGATAAGGGAAGAGCTGCGTATAAATTACTTTCTTGAGTTTCCTGGTATCTATTTCAAGTAAATTGAAATGGTGTGAAGCCCTTTGAAACACTATATACATACAAGGGAACCTGTTTTTCTTTTGTGAGTGGTGGAGATTGTCCTCAATTGCAAGATGAACAGTTCTAAATAGGCCTTGCAAGTGCATCTTATTGTTTCAAATATTATCATGAATTTGTTTTACCTTAGTGACTAGGAGGCCCACTCTGCCAGGTGCTGTTCAAACACAGAACACAAAACCAGTCCTTCAAGGCCTAAAAAACTTATGACCTAAGTATAAACCAGCAGATGAATGTAGACCAGCCAGAGAGAGACAAGAAAGCAATTAGACCACATTGGTCAGCCTGCTAACCAGTGGTCTCAACACTCAGTAGCCCCTCATGGGACCCACCAGGTGCATCCCTGGGCTCAGGACTTTACGCACAGACAGCAAACCATGTTTGGGTGCACCAGAGGAGAAAGAGGTAGGAAGTGAGGTATGGCAGGAGCACTTATTCACTCACCAATCATGCTGGTAGGTGAAGAAACTATGGCAGAGTACTAGTGCTACTAACACAGAGACTTCTGGGCAGGGAGGGTCAGTTTGCTTTACTGTTCATATAGACATCTGCTGATTTGTTGTGATTTTAGTAAATTCATGCTGTGTTCGCTTTCTTCTTTATTCAAGCTTTCTTTGCTTCACATACAGATTCAGTCTGTGTGAGAGAGAACCATAGCTTACCAAGGGTGTCTGAGGGGAATTCTTTTGTTTTCCCAGGTTTCTGGATATGGGGAGTGGGAGTGTTTGGTACTTTTATGAAGACTTCAAGGTCTTGCAACTGTTGTTGCTGTAGACACCTTGTTGGCATCTGCTGCCTTGTGGCTGAAGATAATACCTGGCACAAGGGTTTTACATTTTTGGGTGATGAACAGAGTAGGAAGTAATTTTGTACTGTGAAGAAGCTTTACAAGCTAGAGTAACCAGGCTTGATTACTAGGGAAGTCCCTTTCAAGCTTGTGGGCAAGTCTGTCAGTATATGACCTACTGGGTGTGTCTACACATGCTTTTACATGCGCCTAAACTTAGTGCAGGGGTGCTCAGGGGGGCTGGAGGAGCCAGCTGGGGCTGGGTGGGGGTTCCCCTATGGTCCCCTCCCCCCTCCTCAGCCCTCTCGCCCCCTACTTACCAGCATGGAGCCTGGGTCCAACTCCCTGTGGCAGCGAGCAGGGACCACCTGAATCTCCGAATCAATTTGGAGGCTCCAAATCTATTCATGGGGCTGCTGATTTGATTTGGACCTTTTAATGTGTCTCCCAATTCAATTTGGATTCGGAGATTTGCCTCCCGAATCCAGCCGAATCTCCTCCAAATTGAATCAGCTACCAAAGCTTCGCACAGCCCTACTGTGCACAGGATCTGATGCTCTTATTAGTGCTTCATACACCACTTCTGTCCTTTGCCACCAACTTTGTTTTTGTTCCCTTTTCTCTCCACCTCCATTCATGTCAGTATTTATTTACACAGCCTCCCCCCATAAGTGTCGTATGTTGGGTAGCCAATAGCCCTCATAATCTTCTTACTGTAGCCATTCATCATTGATCACACGACAAGCAGATTAGTCACCTGAAAGCCTCTCAGAGCATCTGCTGTTACTAGTTTATCAGAACAGTGGAGGAAGATGCTTTCTGGCAAACCAGTTCATTTTATTCCAGTCACTGTGAGTGGGGCCACAAAATGTAACTTAGCAGAGGACGAGTTCTCAGGTAGGAACCATCTCTTTCTGTTTGGGAACTGCTTGTATTTACTTGAGGGGTTGTTTCTTTTTACATATTCGAGCAACCTCTCCTGAACCTTAATCTTTAGACAAGATTATCAACCTCTCTTCGAAGCCTTAATTGAGGCTTTGCATATTTGCATCTTGAAGATATACATTTCTGTCTGAGGCCACAGGAACTATAATGTTTCACATATATTAAGGCTGTTAAGCCTATCTTTGTAAGCCATCAGTGCCACAGGTTTGTCGTCTTGCTAATGTAATCAATAGAAAACTACAGAAGACTTCCAAGATCCATCTTTGTTAAACGGCCAAAAGTTATCCAGCTATGGACCGAGAACAAACACCCTTCTGATTGCACTGATTGTTGGGGACTAGTTGTTGTT